GACTCAAATTGGGGGTAAAATTGTAACACATAAAATCATTAAAAAAATTGATGGAATCTGGACTTGAGATTTTACAGGAAAATAGATCTCATTTTTACCTTTAAAACAAGTGGTAAACCATTAAAATTGGAATTTTGTGCTAAGAGTTATGCCCTTCTAAAGTTGGGCTACAATACTAAAAATTAGAAAATTAATCATATGAACAGTATATTTTGTTAAATTTTTTGGTGCTGTTTTGGATGGAATTGAGTCCAATGAATATTTTTTCTCTATAGAGCTCTTAGCAAGCTTCGTGTAAAAATTGGAACTATCCCGTTTTGATTTTTCTAGAATTAGTTATGAATTTCTAAAGTTGGTCCAAATTTGAATAAACAGTACACAAACAAAATAAATTGAAATTGAAAATTCTCACTCGGAAACATTGGGAAATGTGTTATAATGGGATATTAAAGGAGGCATGACAATCTCATTCTTTTCATTTTTTTTTTCTATTTCTTTCTGCATCCATATCTTAGCATTTTTCACTTTCATCTTTCAAGGATCCAAGCACCTCCCGTAGCAAAAATTCAAACAAAGTATGAGAGACTAGTAGTCCATTCTACTATGTCCGTTGAAAAAAAAAAAAAAAGTCCTTTCTACTGAGCCCAATACCTAATCCTCATTGGTAATGTACATTAGCTTTTCACCAATATAAATTTTGCTTTACCTTTTTCCCAATGACCATCATATTTCTATGACACACACGCTTGCATCCTCTGTGTCATGAAGTGTCAGAAATAAATTATAATTACTATAATTTATAAATACATAATATGCTAAATTCTTATATTAATATATTAACTACATGAAGCTTGATAAGTAGATGTTTATGGCTCATGAAGAGTTCGATTTTATATGTATTTCATGTTTTACTAGCATCAAAATGTTATAATAAAATGTCAAGTTTTATATTTTATATTCAATTTACGCAATTTCGGACTCCAAGCTTTCCTATATAAATCACCACCTGGTAAGCACACAGACTTAATTCATATATAGAAAACACAATATGGGTATCAAACTCAAAGCTTTAGTGCACTGGCTGGTATTAGCTGCAATTATAGCGGTGGCCATGTTTTGTGGTGGAGCCAATGGTATTGTAGCGTGCAACATGAACGTACCAAATTCCAAATTGCGTCGTGCTGCCGTCATCGGGAAGAATCCGCCGCCACCAACCAAGGAATGTTGTGCATTGCTTCAGCATGCGACTCGGTCATGCCCCTGCAGATCGCGGTATGTGGCGCCTTCGTTTGGGAGAACAATCGATCCTAAGAATGCCTTTGCCCTGTCCGCTAAGTATGGTTTACCTCCTTGCACGTAAAGGTACTCATTGAACTTCAATACACATGGAATGTGATTAATTAATTTGTCATAAGTTAAAGAATTGAGGTTGTAAGGATTAAGTTGTATCAATTAATTTTCCCTGTATTATCATTTTTCTTTCTGGAATATTGGTTTGCCCAGCTTAACAAATGAATATGAATCAAGTTGAACTAGTTTAGTTCCTTGCTGTAATAATGATACATATAGCACAGGACTTAATAATATTCCTTTGTATATTTGCAAATTAGCTATTAACTGAAAGGATATAATTAACCGATATTTTTATAAACATAGATAATATGTTTTATGATTACATCTTATATCATTGTGCAGGGAATTTGGATTGAAGCAGTTCATGAACCTCGTGCCCATTTATGAATGTCTTCTTATAATTAGCTTGCAATCGCATTGGAAATGCTTTTATGATGAAAGATTAATCTGTCTTTACACAAATAGGTTATCTTAAATCACTTCTCTCTCATATGTATTTGATGTATATTTCTTGTGTTTATTATGGACTACCTCGTTCTATAAGTGAGAGGGCATATAAATAAATTAATAAAATTATATTTTCTTTTATCCCAATTTCAAAGTTGAGCCCACAACTTCATCATGCCAAAATATTTTTATTATTTTGTAAAAAATCAGTATTGATTAATCTCTTAGGAAAAAAGAAAAGATTCAACCGAATTTGCGTAAAAAGGGGCATGTGAAAAACGTTAAAAAAGAATTCTTCCTGTTTTTCACAAAACGATAAAAACCATATTAATTAATTAGAAGTTTTAACGACCAAAACATAAAGAACAAACATAATTAGGAAATAGCCTACGAAAAGACATTATAGAAATAACTTTTACATAAGGCCAAAAATAAAAGTCATGCAATAAAGATAAAATTTCCTGCCAAATCATGATTGATATATGATGAGTTCCTGCAGGAAAATTAATAAATGCTTCCTAACAAATGATAGATAGAGAAGGTTTGAGTACCCATCATAGAAGATTAGAGTTATGCATCCATATAAGAAGCTCGAATGCAACTGGAGAGAAAAGGAAGACCCAGTGTAGAATGATTTTTTTCCATACAAAATTCAATCATTGGAGTTTCTCCGTAGCAAATGTATCCCTGGCAGAAGTGATAATGCTGCCACGATCTTTTAAATTTGTGAAGAAAAATGTCCCATCTAGCATTATTAAAAGAAATGGAAACTTATGTAGAAGATGAATTTGAGTAAAAGGTAAGCGTAAAATTGAACTTTAACCATAATTCTATGAATTAAAAACCTATTCCCCCTAGTTTGGTAGAATCATATTCACGCGACAGAGGGGGGGGGGGGAAGGAAAGAGGTTGTATTGGTTTTATTAGTAGTTATCTTTTTCATATTTTTATCTTTCACTGGTGGGATACCTTGGACAAAAGAAAGAGGAGAAGAGAATTGGTGTTGGATTTATGGGGTTTTATTTTTTTCCCCCCTGTTAATGACTAGTTATAATGCGGAAACACCAGCCGTTATACTTGGATCAGATCCTGTTTGAGCCCGATGTTGACATATTTGTATTTTTTTTTTTTTCCTTTTCAATAGTCTGTCTTGGATACCAAGAAAGTGGAGGGAGGTGGGACTGTTTCAAAAATGCGCAGAGCGAAGAAAGATGAGAGAGAATGCACCCCATATCTGAAAAAAAGTTCAATCCACATTCTTTAATGGATGCATAAAGTTAGAATTTTTTTTTAATTTAAGACAGATATTATGAGAGCTGACCACTCTTCTTTAATTTTGTTGAGATAATTGAAAATAATAGTTTTTCATTTTTTCCTTTAGAGTTTTAATTAGTGATCTAATGAATTGTGAGGGAAAGTTTACATTTCTTTAATTAATAAGGGTGAATATAAAATCTGACCTTTTTTTTTTTTTACATTTTTAACAGCATAACAATATGTTATTAAAATACACGAAAGTGTTGGAAAACATATCAGGAATAGACGGAATAATTCAACACATTCAATTTGTAATCAATAACTAGAGATTTCTTACCCGTGCGATGCACGAATTAAAATATTTATTAAATTTTAAATGATAATAAATTGTATTATCTAAGGCAACTCGAAATTATATTCACTTTTTATAGAAGTGTAATTTTTTTTATTCATTCAAATGAGATATGAATTAGAGATTTGAAAATTAAGAAGACTATATAAAAATTTAGAATTATTTATTTATTTCTCTATTTAAGCCCCCAATTGACGTACTATTTAATTATGATGTTTCCTATTTAATTCAATATATGCAAATCCCAATTAAAATGTCATTCAAACTCAAAATTAATTATTAATTCTTTCATTTGACTCTCAAATTGAAATCTCATTTAATAATGATACTCCTCATTTAATTCAATATACATAAATCACAATCAAAATATTATTCAAATCTCATCAATTAAATATATTTGGATATCTTAATGTTATACCTGACCCATTTTTGAAACAAACCAGGTATTATAAGTTTTCAAGAATATAATTGATGATTGATAATATCACATACTAAAATTAATGAGAATAACTCAACGCACCTCAATCATCATTAGTGCAAATCAAGATCATGAATGGGCTTTATTTTAATATGGGCATGCATGGACCATGAGCCTTCAGCCTATATTTGATATGAAGGACTTGGATTGGATGAAAGAGGAGGGAAGGAAAAATTTTAATATGCTTGATTTAAAAAAAAAAATTAAAGCAGGTTTAAAAGCTTAATTAATTTTTCTCACTCTTTTATGTTACATCTCTTTATCAAATTTTATAATTCCATTTTTCCAATTTTTTAAACTGAGTCCATTTAAATTTTTTAATCCTCTCCCCTTCTTTCTATTTTTCTCATACCAAATAGATCATTAGGGTCTATGGTCCCACTCTGAGAATTTTCTTATGTGATTTTTCTCATTATTTTATAATTTCATCCCTTATCTAATGTGTTTTTTGCTATTACACATTAACATCTTTGATTGTGTTGAGCTCTGATTCTTGAGAATATCATTTATATTTAGGTGTCTATTCTGATTATACCGTAGTGTATGAAATAAATATGTGTTGTTTAATTAAAAATAATCTTATTTGAGACACTATTAATTCTAAATGTAAATCTCTTTATACAATTTCAAACTTTGGCTTCTCACATTATGAAAGAACAGTCTTTTTTCCAAAATTTAACCCCCCTTAGTGACACGCGATAGTTTTTCACCAATACAATTGTTGCTATATTTCCCAATGACCAACACACTTATATTAATATATATATATATATATGTATAGATATATATATATATATATGCATCCTCTTAATGTTATGAAGTGTCAGAAATAAATTAAATTTGCTATTATTTATAAGTAATATAACATACACTAAATTTTATATTAATATATTAATTGCATGAAGCATGAATAGACCTTTTATGACTCGTGAAGAGTTATAGCTTTTAGCATACTTTTTATGTTTTACAAGCCCCCAAACGTTATGATGTTAAGTTTTCTATTTTCTATTTTATATTTTATATTCACTTCACGCAACTTAGGATTCCAAGCTTCCCTATATAAATCATCCCTAGTACGCACACAGACTCGACTGATTCATCAAATGACACAATATGGGTATCAAACTCAAAGCTTTAGTGCAATGGCTGGCATTAGCTGCAATAATGGCGGCGGCCATGTTCTGTGGTGCAGCCAAAGGTACGGTGGTGTGCAACATGGATATGACAAAGTCGGACGAATTGTGCCGTGCCGCTATCACCGGGCAGAACCCGCCACGGCCAACCAAGGGATGTTGTGCAGTGATTCGGCATGCGAACTTCCCGTGCCTCTGCGAATTAAAGTATATGTTGCCTTCATTTGGGATCGATCCTAAGAATGCCTTTGCTTTGCCCGCTAAGTGTGGTCTTCAATCACCTCATTGTCCAGGTGATGCTCCTTTTTTCTCACTCTCATTGAACTTCAATACATATTATGGATCATGATTTTCGAAAAGCATATATAAGCAATATTGCTTTAACTTGGCTCAAGAAAAATCCGGAAATTGTAAACTCAAATTGCTAGAAAAGTTGGGATGTAAGTCTATCCAAATGAAACATATGAAAATTATGCTTCATAAGTATTTTAATTTACATAAATTAAAATATACTCTTCCAGTTCTTAATATAGAATCTAATTGTTGAGTTGATTTTGGTTTTAAATATAAGATCTAATTCTCAATTTATCACTTTCTCCTAAATTACTCTTATTAATACTCTCTCAACCATAGTCAAGTAGGAGAGGGACTGAAGATGACAAGGAAGATGCTTTTGTATTTTAGAAAAAATATGTCATATTTCTTATGATTATCTAACTTACCTACATTCTTTAATCTGATCAAATTATTTAAATATATCTTATATTAATGACTGGAAGATTATTTCATAAGTATTTAAAAAATATCTTTCACAATTGAACCCTCAAACATATAAATAAGTGTGTATGTGTGTGCCTTTGCTATCAAAAATTAATATATTTCTTTCATTGGGCAATAATGTCAACTTCTTATGAAATAATCCTTTTAAAAAGTATACGTCTACTTCAATCGACCAACCTTGAGTTATCACTAGCTTTTAGCCAGGTTTCTATTGTTGGATTGCTATTTAACTTTTACACTTTTATTACCAAAACAATTGCTATTGAGTATAGTGAATCGATCCATTAGTAAATATATTATATTATTCTATATTATAATTTTTCTTGTTGGAGAATTGGTCCACTAACTTAATGGATGCATGAACTAAGTTGAACCAGTTTGGTTCGCCATAATATAGATATATAGCGCAGAACGTAATTATATTATTCCCTTGTATATTTCCAAATTAGCTTTTATTTGAAATAATACAATCATAAACGTTGATAAACATGTTTTTGTGACTACATCCTGTATCCCTGTGTAGGGAATTGAAGCAGTTCATGAAGCTCGTATCCGTTTACGAATGTCTTCTTGTAATTAGCTAGCTTGCAATCGCACTGGAAATGTTTTTATGAAAGAAGATTATGTAATCTGTTTTTACATAAGTAATTTACCTCTTAAATCACTTCTCTCTTATATGTATTTGACGTACATTTCTTTTGTTTATCATGGAACACCTCGCCCTCCAAGTGGGAGGGGCACGCACACACACACACACACACACACACACACACACACACACACACACACACACACACATATATATATATAGCTCTGCGGTTACATATATGTTGAAGGAATTGGGTTAAGGTTCGTCATCCTGAGTTATTTTTAGATATACAATCAGCACCTTAAAATATCTGATCATGCAATTTTGCCTCTAAAATATTGAAATGGAAGCAATTTCCACCCCAATCTAATAGAAACTAACCACCTTTAATTCTTTACTTCTTCAGAAAAAACATGTTGACTGGGACTATCATAATAATAATAGCCAGTTTGTTAGCAAATAAACCATTGTTGCTTTTGGAATGACTATATATAGGCGCCTCTTGCTTCCCGGGGTGGAGCTCGTATAGATGAACGGGAAGGTGCGTAATTAATCTGGTTTGGGATGGGAATGGCAGGAGATTATTTCTAAGATTATTTGTGGGCCTCTGGTTCAATGAGAGAAAAGAATAATGGCTGATCACGCGCAAGGTTCATCTGATGAAGACGACGAACAGTAAACTAATTAATACTCTTCTAATTCTAAATATACGACCCATTTTGTAGTGTAGATTACATTATAAAATGGGTCTTATATATAGAACCGAAGAAGTACTAGTATTAATGGTGGTTAAATTTCCGTTAACTTGTGGTAGGAGTTGCTTTGCTTTTAATATTCTAAGGACAAAAATAATTCAAAGTGTTAAGTGTTCTTTAACCCTAAAATTAGTAAAATATATTTTTTAATTCAAATCCAAAGTTTAGCCTTCAACTTCATCATGCCTAAATATCAATATTATTCTATAGGAAATAGATATTGACTAATCCCTTAGGAGAAAAGAATTAACCTAATTTGCATAAAAAGGGGCATGTGAAATATATATGTTGAAGAAAATAACTCTGGCTTGCTGAAATAAGAAGATGGGGCCAACTACCCAAAAAAAAAGTTTTAACACTCGTAGTTGAAGGTCAATTGTCAAAGCAAGACTTTCAACAACAACTCTTAAAGTTACCACTCAAAAAAGGCTTTCATGGTGACTTTGTAGAGCCGCCATTGAAAGCCAGTTTTAAGGGCGGCATAATGTCACTGCTGAAAGTCACTTTCAACAGCGATTTTGAGAATCACCACTTAAAGTCTCACAAAGTATAGTTTCAGTTATTAAAAAAATACACATACATTATACGATAATTTCAATTATTAATCTGATAAAATAATTTTTATATATTTATATTACTATTTATATTAAAACTTTTTATTTTTTTAACAATTATTATTATTCATATAAAATTAATTTCAAATGGAATAAATTTTAAATTTTAGACCTCAAACTGTTTTCATATAAATATACTTTCAACCTTTTTTTAAATTTGATTTTTATTTTTGGGTTAATATAATGTTTGGTTCTTCAAGTTTTTCCTCATTTTGATTCTAGTCCCTCAAGTTTTAAACTATAGGTTTTAGTCCCTCAATAGACAAAATGATATAGATTTTTGTTTAATTATAGGGACTAATATTTTAAATGAAAAGAAACTTAAGGGACCAAAACCTATGATTAAAAATTTGAGGGATTAAAATCAAAATGAGAACAAACTTAAGGAACCGAAAATTGTATTAAGCCTTTATTTTTTAAATAACAATAATTAAGTATGTAATTTATTTAGATACTTGTATTATATTATGTTATATATTTTCTTTTAATTTATAAGATTTTTCACAAAAGGAAATAAGATTTTGAAATATTGTAAATTTATAATTATAATTTTTGTCAATTATATTTTAGAGAGGAGTACTAATATACGATGTCTTCCTTTAATCTTCAAGTAGATTATAAGATCAAATTATCTTTGGACAGGATGGATTTCAATCCAATCCATATTTTTTAAATTACATTATTTAAACAAAAAATTAACTATTATAAAATCTAATTATATTATATAACAAAATCAAGTGATTTAAAGAGGTTATAACAAAACGTAGTTATTCTATATCTTTAGTTGTTAATCAATTATTTTGCTTGGGTTGTCATTTAAATTTCACTCGATTGGTTGGTTAAATTCAAAAAATTTTATAACAAATCACCGTCTATTCACGAAATCTGAAGAATACGGGAAAAACTAATTGACTATCGCACCGTTTAGATTGAAGATTTGGGTCTCCCAAATCATCTTACAGAATTTTAGCTTAATCAAACCACAAATCACCATCTACTCATCTTCTTTGATCAAGACTGCTCAAACTAGACTGTAGCATACGTGAACCGTTGTTCATGAAAATTCTAGGTGAGTTTGAGAACTCCAAAGGCTGATAATACTATCCAAAACAAAGGCCAATATTTCTGGAACCTTCACAAAGTGTTTCAGCCAGATCCGATAAAAAATCACCTTCTGATTGTTACTCTGATCAAAGGATATGGTACTGCATCTCAAGAGGAGCAATCACCTTCTCTTATTTGTTTAACTGTTTTTAAAGTACAAGAGGAATTGATTGATTTCAATGAAAATAAATAAGTGTTAAGTGTCTAAGTTATTGCGACACTAACCCTGTAAATTTATTTCATAATACTAATTAAATATTATATTTCATTTCATCATACTATATATATAGAGCAAAAGAAACAAATACTCTAATTTCATATCAATATATAGATATGATGCTACATGATTTTTGTTATGATACTAGCTTGAAATATAAATATAAATAATTATAAAAGACAGTGTACAACATTTTCTTATATGATTAAGCTTGGATGGGAACTTGTAAAACAGTGACTTTCTTTTGTCGCTGCTAAATGTTAGTTTCAATGGCGACCTTCTTTTGTCACCACAAAAAGTCTATTTCAAATTATTATTTTAAGTTTTCTTAAAAAAATAATATTTAGACTCATTTATTATGATTTGTTATGAAGAAATAAAATATTTTCACATCTTGTTGTAACGTCTGTCCTTTAACCCCCAGAGTACGTATTTGGAAGCAATAAAGTTCTGATGAATCGCGGTGCAAGCCCGTAGAATAAAATTTTCAATGAAAATTCTTAGGTTACTATTCACTTGAAATTCCAAATTTTAGGTTTAACTTTAAAAAATCATAATTAATTCTAGAAAAATTGTATCGAGATAGTTCAAATTTTTATTTGAAGCTCTTTTAATCCTGTACAAGAAAAAAATAATCATTGGCCTAAATCTTTGCCCAAGTCATACAGTTTAATATATAAACTTTACTGTTCATTTGGTCAATTTGCCAATTTGCAGAATTCTGGGCTAATTTTGATCAACCATATCTTCTAATATACACATCCAATTCAAGTGATCTACCACTTGTCTTGAATCTGTGGATGTTACTAATTACTCACCAAAGTTCATAAACAAGCTTGTTCATTTGCTTAGGATTTGCTCTGTCTCAGTTAACTGTTCACTTGGGGGTTCCTTATCCCTTAACTTGCAATAACAATTCATAATAAACTCCATACATAAATAATACCAATCTATCATTGCATAAAACATTCTTATACAGTAATACAATTCATGATACATGCCAATTGCATAATTTACCATTACAAAACAGAAGCATTGCTCAAGAGGCAAAAATCAATATGTTAACAACATCTCATAATTCAACTCCTTTTATGGTACCTCCATATTCCCTTTTCTCCTTGACAATTCCAGCACCTAAAATGTTGTCATTCAAATATGATAGGAGTGAGATTTGAGAGAATCACAGCAATAAACATTACCCATTGCATGCAAGACAAATGCAAGTGTATGACATGTTTGGTTTCACATACTTTCATACTCTAAAGATAGCATATTCACATGCTCAACATT